ACAATTCTTCACAGACCTCAGAAGAACAATACTCAACTTCATATGGAAAAATAAAAAAAACCCAGGGTAGCCAAAACAATCCTGTACAATAAAGGAACCTCCGGAGGCATCACCATGCCTGACCTCAAGCTCTACTATAGAGTTATAGTAATAAAAACAGCTTGGTATTGACATAAAAACCAACATGTGGACCAATGGAATTGAATTGAAGACCCTGACATTAACCCACGCACATATGAACACCTGATTTTTGACAAAGCCGCCAAAACTGTACAATGGAAAAAAGAAAGCCTCTTCAACAAACGGTGCTGGCATACCTGGATGTCAACATGTAGAAGAATATAAATATAAATAGATCCATATCTATTGCTGTGCATAAAACTCAAGTCCAAGTGGATCAAAGACCTCAACATAAATCCAGTTAGACTGAACCTGATAAAAGAGAAAGTGGAAAGTAGTCTTGAACGCTTTGGCACAGGAGACTACTTCCTAAATATAACACCAGTACTACAGTCATCGAGAGTGACAACAACTGGGACCTCCTGAAACTGAGAAACTTCTGTAAGGCAATTGATACTTTATCTTTTAAAACTTTTCCAGGCAAACAAAAGAATGAGGAAATTTCAGGACAACAGACACACACTTCAAGAATATAAAGTGAGAGGCTGGAGAGATGGCTCAGTGGTTAATAGCACTGGCTGTTCTTCCAGAGGACACAGGTTCAATTCCCAGCACCCACATGGTAGATTACAACTATCTGTAACTCCAGTTCCAGGGGATCCGACACCTTCACACAGACATGCATACAGGCAAAACACCAAATGCACATACATTTTTTTAAACATCATTAAAAAAGAATATGACATGAAGTTCTTAGGCAGAAAAAAAATTCCAGTTGGGTAATTGAAATTATGCAGTAGTACAAAGGACACTGGAAATGGCATGTGGGTAACTCCACAATACATTTGCCCATTTTTTTCTTCTATGGACATATATTTAGTGCACAAAATAATGGGCTTCACGGGGGGGGGGGGGGCTCCATACATATCCAAAAACTGCTTTGATGGTATTAGCCCCCATCACCTCTGTCAATCCCGCCGCCCTCACCCCTTCTACCTCCCCTACAGTTCTCTCTCCATTTTCACGTCTTTTTCAAAACCTAGAGTGCACGTGAGATGGAAGACTGTGCAGTTTCTCTCTCCCCGAGCCTGGTTTATGTCATCTAACACAGTGCAGTAGTTTGCATGGGAAGTGTCCCCAACGAGCCCATGTCCTTGAACACTTGTTTCTTACCTGGTAGTGCTCTTTAGGAAGACAGTGGAACCTTTAGGAGGTGGAGTCTCACCGGGAAAAGTGAGTAACTGGCTTGGACCCTGAGTTTATAGCCCAGGCCCCATGTACCATCTGCTCTCTGCTTCCCAACTGCAGGTAGAATGTAGCCAGGCACCTCAAGCTCCTGGTGTTGTGTTTCCTGGTCATGATAGACTGTCTCTTTGAACTGTAAGATGAAATAAACCCTTTCACTCTTGAGCTGCTTCTTGTCAGGTATGTGGCCAGAGGAGTAAGGAAAGCAAAAAATATCCAGGATGACCTCCAGATCCATCCACTTTCCTGCAAGTGACATGGCTTCATTCTTGATGGCTTAAAGATACTCCACTGTGTATATACCACAATTTCTTTTTTTTCCGTCCACTCAAGGGAACCTAGGCTGATTCCAAGTGCCATAATAAATGGGTATGTGGATATGTCTCCTGTATGATACCTTTGATTCCTTCAGGCATATGTTCAGGAGTGGGACAGGTGGAGTTGTAAAGTTTCTTTAGAAGGCAGCTTGACTGCTAGGGGTAGTGGTGCATGCCTGTAATTTTTCTACTCCAGAGGCTGAGACAAATCATGAGATCATGTCCGTCTGAGCTAATATCCTGTCTCAAAAACAGCACAGTGAGGGGGGTGGGGTTGATCATTTGACACAACAATGATAGCAAGCATTTGGAGGCATAGAACACATAGAAAAAAAATATTTGGGACAAAAGAGAATGAAGAACGTGGGGGACAGTGAAAGCAGACCCGGGAAAGCTTTTCTATTATTAGGAGCTGTTATTCGGAAGTAGACCACTATTAGGTAAAGACACAAAATGTCAGGCGTGGGACACACAGCTGAGATGGACAGATACGGAAATTATCCACTATTGATCAAATATTGAGGTCACTCAACTGAAAGGAACAGAGAAGAGCAAACTGTGAGGAATGAGCGGTATACATATAAAAGAAACAGCAAGAGGATGTTTAAATCCCCAGGTGCTAATAGCTACATTAAACATAAGTGAATTACACACTCAGGCTGGAAGGCTGAGACGGTGTACCCTAGATAAAGAGGCAAGACCCCAGAAGATGCAAGTTTATGTTGCATACATGAAGTGATTTCTTCTTTTACTTTTTTAAAGTCTTTTTTGAGATTATAATTACATCATTTCTCTTTTCCTCATGATGTCTTCTTTATTAATTGGTCATACATACATACATACATACATACACACACACACACACACACACACATCCCTAAATACATAAATACAACCTGTCCTGTTTGTATGTTACTTGTATGTATTTAGCATGTGTGTATGGTATGTGTTTATTCAAAGGTATGTGTATGAGGGGGTTGAAGGCCAGAGAATGACATGCGGGTCTCCCTCTATCACTCTCTACCTTCTGCATTGAGGCAGGGTCTCTTACTGAACTCAGAGCTTACAGATTTGACTAGTATAGTCAAGTTTGCTCTGATGACCTGCCTCTCAACAGCTGGGATTATAAACAGGCAACTCCACCTGTGTAGTATCTATGTGGCTGGAATCTGAATGCTGGTCCTGACATTCTTTTTTTTTAATTAAGAAAAATTTTCCATTCATTTTATACACCAATCAAAGATCCCCTCTTCCTTCCTCCTGTGCCCCCCCAGCCTCCCCTCCCGAACCCAACCCCCACTCCCTCCCACAAGAAGGCAAGGCCTCCCAGGTGGAGGCATATTCAGTAGAGGCAAGTCCAAGCCCTTCCTGCCCCCTCAAGGCTGCAAGAGGTGTCCCATCATAGGTAGTGGGCTCCAAAAAACCCACTCATGCACCAGGGATGGATGCTGATCCTACTGTCAGGGGCCCTCCCAAGCAGATCAAGCTACACAACTATCTCACCATTCAAAGGGCCTAGTCCGGTCCCATGTAGGCTCCACAACCATTGATCCAACTTTCATGAGTTCCCTCTAGTTTGGTTTGGTTGTCCCTGCATGTTTCCCCATCATGATCCTAATGCACTTGCTCATAGAATCCCTCTTCTCTCTCTTTGACTGGACTCCTGGGGCTCTGTCTAGTGATTGGCTGTGGATCTCTGCATCTGCTTCCATCAGTCATTGCAGAAAAGTCTGTGATGACAGCTGGTCCTAACATTCTGAGGCAACCAGTTTATCCACTGAGCCTGTTCCCCAGTCCTGCCCTCTCTGCCTTTGAAACATGGTCTCTACACAAGTCTGTCCTTGAATTTCCAATGTGTTTGAGGCTGACTTTGAACTTCTGAACCTCCCACTCCACCTCTTGAGTGCTGGAATTACAGGTGTGAATCTCCATGGCCCATTTATGTACTGGGTGGGGTAGAACCTGGGGGGCTTTGATAGGCTGCAGAAGTACCCTATTAACTGAGTTACATCCCGAGCCCCACAGGAAGCACTCTTTAGGTAAGAAGATACAAATGGGTCGTAAGGAGACAGAGGTTGAAATGAAGGAAAGGAAGATCTGTGCAATGCAAACACTGGTCAAAGGGCAGCTATAGTGAGTGTGTATCTCAGGTGAGATTCCAGAGCAGGAAACAGTAAGGAATGAATTAGCTCAAGTGTTTTCATAACAGCCGCGGGATGGCAGAGGAGGAAAGATGAAGTATGGAGAGTTTCCCGTATCGTAACCAGAAGTCGGTTAACAAGGACAAATCAATCTGAAAAAATTGATTCCATTTTGCACAGAAGTTTGGAGGAGCTTGGAGTGCTGGGTTAATTTCCATCCTCTTAGTACCCTGTGGTTTTCCTGATTCTGTGTAGCTTTGTATTGGTCAAAGTAGGAAAAAGTAAACTGCAAAAGTAAATGTAAGCACAGTAGATTCCTAGCTATCAAAACGAAACACTGTCAATAGTCAATCCAGACTGTGTCCAGATGCTAGGAGAATGTAGCTTAGCTGTCTTGCCTGCAGCAGGCAAGGCTGTGAGGCATTTTCTTGATTAATTATTGATGTGGGAGTGTATGTGTGCGTGTGTGCGTGCGTGTGTGCCTAGTAGAGAGAATTCTTCCATGGTCTCTGCTCTAATTCCTTCCTCGAGTTCCTGCCCCAACTTTCCTTAGTGGCAGTGATGATCTGTAAGCTGGGAGGATTTTTGTTTGTTTTTGGTTTTTTGTTGTTTTTTTTGTTGTTGTTTTTGTTTTTTGTTTTTTGTTTTGAGACAGGGTTTCTCTGTGTAGTTTTGGTACCTGTCCTGGATCTTACTCTGTAGACCAGGCTGGCCTCGAACTTGCCTGACTCTGCCTCCTGAGTGCTGGGATTAAAGGCATGTGCCACCACCGTCTGGCTTAAACTGGGAGTTTTAAGATGAAATAAACTCTTTCCTCCTCTGAGGTGGTTTTATCCCAGCAACAGGAAGCACCAGGGCAGTGTGAAAAGAGGAACTGGAGAGCAGATGGAAGAGACACACAGTAGTGATCCGGAAGGGCTGAAGACAGGATGAAGGGCCACTTCTACATGAACATGTTTAATTATGAGTCTTTGGTATGCTACATAGTTATTATTCTAGTTTTTGAAATAAGCTTTGCAAACATAAGCAATATTTTTAAGTAGAAATTTCAAATTCTTTTTCTTCCTTTCTGGGCATTCACTGCTTCTAGAATTTAAGCCAAACCCTAAACTAGCTTTCAGTTGATGCTGTTAAGATTCAATTTATAAAATAAAAAAAGAAAACATTAGACAACACAGGTTGGAAGTTAATATGGTGGAACCTATGAGCCCCCAGGGACAAGAACACTAACTGGAAAAACTATGAAGGGAGTGTTCTTGATCTCCAGGGCCCCCAAAGACAATCTGATTATTTTCAGAAAAAAAAATGAATGACATTTTAAGGACTAAATTACACACATGACCTTGGCTACTTCCAATTTATGTTGGGTGCCTTAATATAGATTAGAACAGCACTGACTTATTTTCCTGATGATAGTTTAGTGAAAAGGAACTTAAAAAGTTTAACTTACTCTTGCCATGCTCAAATAGCAGAAACAGCTTTGTCCTCCAATATAAGCCTGTCCACAGCCACAGATTGTAGAGAAATTTCTCCTGGTGGTCGGGATTGAACCCAAGAGCCTTGACGTGCAAGGCAAGCATTCTAATACTTAGCTGCATCCTCAACCTATTAGCCAATAGATCCTTGGTTTTCTAGACCAGCACACTCAAGTAATCTGGACTATATCTCATTGTTAAAGTGGGTTGTAAAGTAATTATTTCAAACAGGTCTGCAACTTGTTTTTATTCCTAGAAATGCCAGTGCAGAATAAAATTGATTTATTTCAATATTTATTTCAAGTGTTTAAGTTGCCAGTGTTGAAATGAGTTTAAAACTCCAGGTTTTAGGGCTTGAGAAGAATAAAACTTGAAGCTAATTGTATTGCTTTATTTATGTGATGACAGATAAAAGCTGTGATTTTTTTTTTTATCAGAAGGGCTTGTCCACTCTAGAAACTGTAATAAGCTCAGCTGAGACCAGCAAAACCACTTGATTTATTTATTTCTCTCCTGAAATCACAGCCGTTCTCGGTCGTCACACCTTTCTTGGTCTCAACTAAACCTTCTTAGGCATGAAGGTGCTAAACCTTCATTGATGAAGATAACAATTATTTATTTAGGTGAAATATACAGTTTGCCAATCTTCCGCTCAGTTATGTTTCAGAGAAGATATAAGAGAAAAGACCAACTAGACATAGACTTTAAAAATTCATGTCCTGATACTAACCCATTAGGTATTGAATATGTACTGCAAAATGCTTGTCATCTTTTGCTGATATGTATCACTATTTTAATAAAGCACATTTTCCCTCCTTAGTGGACCTCTATCGAGCATATATCTAATACCCACATAGATACATTAGTGCTATATCCCCTTCAGCCCTCCCTCAGATAACCTCCAAAATAAGATAAAGTGACATATTTCCACTTGACTATAAACTCCATTGAACAAACTTCAGATCTTCCCTTTGGTCAAGGATAGGGAAGCTTCCTGTCCCAGAACATTTCCTCCGTTTAGCCTGAAGTTTTTTTCTTCTGAGGTAGGAAGATGGCCTTTTCTAATGAAGAGTGTTGCTTGGGGCTATATGCATGCTGTCTCTGGGTACACCACCTCAGGAAGGTTTAGCATTAGGTAGATTTTCTTCACCTAAACCACAGAGGGTGATTGCAGTACCTGCCTCCTGCAGAACGAGCACCTCTTTCTTCTTAGGCCCCCAGATCACTACTCAGTCTCTTTACACATTTAAAAGGAGACGATAATGTCATAACGTGCATATACAATGAAAACTATTTTTTGCAAAGCCAGATTGTCATATCATATCGTGATACTATTTCACCACAAAAAAAGAGGGAGAACACCCTGGTGAGTAGGTTGATGTCACTCCAGAGATGCTCCTAGGAAAAGGGTCAGATGGAAATGTTTAACTTGGAGGGACATGCTGGTATTTGGAAACAGAAATTATACCAGAAAGCTTTGGAATGTTTTAGAAATAGGTTTAGAAAAAGGGTAGGCTCTTGTTTATTCTAATCCAAAAGCTTTAGTTTTTGAATAACCAAAGAGACATTGTCAAATAGACTGACCATCTAACAGAGACAGGCTTATGTTCATGCTGTACTAACTCAAACAATAAACAAAGACGTAGTTGCTGGAGCTGATGGCTCAGGTTGGACTGTGACTTACACACACACACACACACACACACACACACACACACACACACACATACGCACACACACGCACACATACATTTTTTTACTTGGGGTGATTTTTTTTTTCAGTGCTGGAGATTATAAGGCAAGTGCTTTACCACATTACAGCCCAGTTTGTTATTTTAGGAAGAATTCTAAAACCTAAGGGAACAATCTCTCCCGAATGTTTGGAAACAGTCTTTTGACCTATCAACCCAGAGATTCCGAGGGCTGAGAACTTGGAAATGCAGCGGAATGGTGAGGAGTGACGCTGGTGGTTTCAGGTTATTGTGGTACCATCCAGCCAATGGACTCTTATCTACAGGGTTAAAAAAAGAAAACCGGTAATACTATTAAAAGCAACGATGACCCTGAGTGTTGCTAAATATTTGTGATGCGTCATCCAATCATTGCTCGATCTTGAAGAACTAACCAGACAACAGAGTCTCATTGATAAAAAATGCAAAGCCCGCAGCCAAGGAGTGTTGTAATTTATCTTCAATTAGAAATGAAGGAATGTGATGATCTCGCCTGGCCGTGGCTTATCCGCGTGGAAAGCGAGTTCTAGCTATGTGCTGGAGGACTTCTGTGACATAGACAAGAGCCAGGCTCGGTAGTGGCTGGCAGGGCTTTACAGTGCATCAGCAGATCTGTATTTAAATCTTAGGATTTCGTGTCCCAGACTTGAAACAACAAATGCTAGTTAATGAAAAATAAGCTGGAATAAGAAAATCTGTAGTTCTGAAGATCTCAAGAGGACACAATAAAAACAACTTCCTTGCCTACCAATAGCACTTTGTGTTTTCAAACATCCACACATTTAATTTCATCGCATCCTCACAACAACCCTGCAAGGCGAGTGTTAACAGGCCCATTGTGCAGCCGAGAAACAGGTTTTAAATATTTTTAGGTATCTTGCTGGAAGTCATACATTGAATGAAAGAACCCAGACGAGGCTAGACCTCTTCTCTTTCTGTCTGTCTCCCATTCCCCCATATCTCTGCATCCTTTTTGTTCTGAACCCGTTGTATGGACTGGAAACAGGAAGAGAACTGCTTTAAATCAAACCTGTTGTGAGCGTCTTATGTCTGGAGTCACTCTAGGAGACCTTTTACAAGCTGTGTATCTGGAGTCACTGCGTAGGTGTGTAATGGTAACATCTGGCATAGCGCAGGGTACCTTTTGATGCTGGTCGATGTACGTTTAAAACATCCAGGAGAATGTCTGTAGACACCTTCTCTTCTGTGCCTCCATAAAGTGTGGCATCCCTTATATACAAATTACTGGCCTGTCCATGACATTGCCAATCCTTTAGCCTCTTAGTAGCATGTTTTTCAGAGCCGATAGAATACCAGGATGGCGAAGGAAGGACTGCCAGGTACCAAGTTACCTCCTTTTCATTCTCAGCCCAAACCTCCTCTACCTCTTGCTACATTTTATGTTGTACAAATTGACAGCGACACCAGGTCTTTTTAAATCACGAGTTCACTTTGTTGAGAAACAGTACACATCACGTGACTTAAACCAGTCAAGCCTCACTTAGGTCAGAAATAAAAATACAATTTAAAAAAAAAAACATCAACCACAAAATATAAAGTCAGTATGGTTATGAGCCAGGCCTACACATTTCAGTGTCGCACATTTTCAGTAATAGTCTATGCAAAAATAATTCCCCCTTTGGTCACAGCAGTGAGGAAAACACAGGTAGAAACAATGGATGTGTTGAGCTGATTTGTGGCTACCTCACATAAAGCCATCTGCTCTTATGATCTCTAGCCGGAGTTAGATAATGGACCAAAAAGCCCCCTCCCCCCACCCTCTGCCCCAAGAGTCGGGCTGCAAGGCTGTGCGGCTCAGGTGGAAACAGGGATGAATTTGATGGACTTGGACGATTTAGGCGAGTCCTTCCACATCCCTGTGCTGTTCGTGGGGCTTCGGTTGTTCGAGTAGGAAGTCTGCCTTCTGCTCGTGCTGTCCGAGTCGTCCTTGGTGAATTTCTGCACCACGCTTTGGCAGCATGGAAAGCTTTGGACACAGTCTTGCAGGAGATGGCCGCTAAAAAACATGTATATCCAGGGGTTGCAGCAGCTGTTCAAGGAGGCTAGTAACGCCGTGATGGTGATGGAGGGGTTTTCTGAATCTGTGGGGGAAGTTGTGGGGAGAGATCGTTTAATAAACAGCCAAAGCAAAGACACTGCACTGAACTGATCTATTTTTTCCTCCTGACCAATGAGTTAAAAAGTTGCATGTCAGTATAGAAACGAACATTTTATTTGTTAGGGAGACAGCTGTTGCTTCAGAGAAATGAGTGCTTTTTGAAAGTTGGTTGTAAAAGGAAATATCTAAAAGTTAGTGTGAATAGTTTAAACCAGACACTGTTAGAGCAGTTCGATATAATGGTTAGGAATTCTAAGAAGGTGAAGTTATTGAATAATTTATTTAAAAAAACTGTACACCGGTAGGAGCCTTTGTGAACAGATACGGTGTTTACAGAATGGAAATCTGAAGTGTTTATAACCACATACACCGAATTACACTCATCCTAATAACTCGGGCACAGTATGCCATACGAGCTGTGTTTAGCAGAAGTGAATGAAAACTCCAGGGAAGAGGGTAGTGAAAAGAGATCTCCAAAGAAGCTGGCTTTAGTTGTTTAGTAGTTTGTTTGGGAATCATTAGACATTTGGCTTGATTTTTAAAAGACCATCTTTGATTGTAGTTCAAACGAATTATAATGAGAAAAACATCTGGGTTCTGTGTGACCCTGTTCCAAATAAATAATAAAAACAAAACAACATAATTAAAGCAGACAGCAACAAAACCCCTAGTAGCTGAATTGGGGATTCAAACAAGATTTTGAAATATTCTGTGAGGTACCCCTGGAGAACTACATGGTTACCACAACTTTTCAAAGTGAAACGATTGCACTGGTAATAATAATAAAAAAAATAGGAAGAACCACCAAACACCAAATGTCTCCTGATTACTATACAGACTTGGATAATTTCACTTTCGCCATGGCAAAATAAACTGTAGATCAGTGGTTCTCAACCTGTGGGTCCCTTTGGGTGTTGAACGACCCCTTCATATGGAGTCACCTAAGACCATCCTGCATATCGGATATTTACATTACAATTCACAACAGTAGCAAAATTAGAGTTACAAAGTAGCAATGAGAATAATTTTACGGTTGGGGGTCATCACACCATGAGGAACTGTAGTAAAGGGTCGCAGCGTTAGGATGGCTGAGAACCGCTGCTCTAGACCATTCACTGCTTCGTGCTAAGTGCTGCAGAGGTGACCATAGCCATGCATGGCATTTAAAAAATATAGACATTCTGAATATGTATAGCACAAGTAAGAATTTTAGTAATTATGTCCAAATTTCAATAAGCAATAGAAGTTTTCAATTTGATTGACACTCTTAGAGGCTTCTCGGAGGGGAAAGGTAAACAAAAAAGACTTTCCATGTATTCCTCATTGTTAGCAATGTAGCCTACAAATGTATTTATTTAAATGACATCTGTGAACGTTAAAAACGATACTCATAAAATACATTTTATGTATTCCATGCCTCAATCCTAACACTGGAAAAAGATACGGCTTCTCCCAGATTTTCTATCCTGACTAGACTTTTCATCAGGAACACTTCTGTAACACACTTGGTTTGGAAATTTTTCTTCTTATTAAAGGAAGATATATTACAAGACACAAAATTAAATAATAGCCTCCTGGGGAATGGGTTTTTCTGTTTTGTGAAGGAAACTCAAATGAAACTAGCCAGCGGGGGATGAGAAACTTCCACAGTAAACTACAGAGCTATTTGTGTGGTGTGAATAGTCCTGTTGTCAAATTTGTGCTGAAAGACTAGTGAACGAGTCCCCTGAATTGAGATGATCAACACTCCTGCTGTGGAGTACCGGGAAAAGAAAGTTATTATGGCTAGAAAAAAATGAAAATATTATAATGAGGAAGGATGCATGAACTAAAAGCCAGTTTAGACTTCTTGAATCCTTTCCTAGCCTTTTCCAGAAAAGTGTGTCCATCTCTACCCTTGACCTGGGCAGAATTTCATCAGGAGTTTTCTATTAATTATGATAGATTCCTAAATCGAAGAAAAAGCCACCCTGACACTAAGAATACTTCCTAGGGCTTGAAGGTAGGGTATCCAAGAAGTCTTAAGTTATTTGGAAAATGTCACTATTGTTTTGCAACTAGTGGGTGACTTTAGGCACAGCGTGTGGCATTAGAATGGTTATACATGCTGACACCTGGGCCCTACTGTACCTGGGGCGGGGAGGGGACACCCAAGAATTTGCACTTTTGCTTATCTCCCCCTCCCTATCCCCTGTAATGTGGACATGGAAGACTTTTATGCATGTAGGAGCTTAGTTATTGAGCAGGTACTATTAAATCTCTCTCTCTCTCTCTCTCTCTCTCTCTCTCTCTCTCTCTCTCACACACACACACACACACACACACACACACACACACACACACACACACACACACACACACACACCCCATGTTCTCACTACATACCGGTCCAGATGAAATTGTCATCCCAGACAGACCACATCTGGACGATGAAGAAAGGCGCCCAGCAGAGGATGTAGGCAGTCACGATCACAAAGGTCATCTTCACTGTGCGGATTTTGGCACGGGAAATGGTCTTCACACTGCTGACACAAGGCGTGACCAGAAGCCCCTTGTGGAAGGGACCTGGGGTGTCCCCAGAGTCCTTGCTGCCCTTGCTCTGCCTCGACGCCGTCTTCCCACGGACGTTGCGCCAGATGTGGTAGCAGATGAAGCCGTAGCAGGTACCCAAGATGACCACAGGTACCACGAAGACACCACTGGTCATCCAGGTCACGTAGGCACGGGTACCCCAGGGCTGGATAAAGGTAGCCCAGCAGTCTTGGGTTTTGGTACCATTGTTCACCTCGATTTCGATCATAGAGAAGATGAAGTACTGCGGTGTGCTCAGTAGGAAACTCAGCACCCAAGAGGCGGCGATCATGAGGCGCGAGCGGCGCGCGGGCTGCTGCAGGGTCTTGAGCGGGTGGCACACCGCGATGTAGCGGTCGGCGGTCATGACCACCAGCATGTAGGCGGACGCGAACATGGCAAACACCTGCAGGTGCTTCACCACGCGGCACAGCCAATCCGGCCCGCGGAAGCGGTAGGTGATGTCCCAGCACAGCTGTGGCAACACTTGGAAGAAGGCGACCGCCAAGTCTGCCAGGCTGAGGTGTCGGATGAAGAGGTGCATGCGGGATGTCTTGCGGGGCGTGCGATGCAACGCCAGCAGCACACTGCTATTGCCCAGCACGGCCACCACGAAAATCACCGCCAGTACGGCGATCTCCAGCTTGGCCAGCTCCTCGTTGCGCACATCCCCGGGAGGGTCGTTACCTTCCTGGAGCAGCCCCGTTGCCTCCCGGCTGCTGTTGGCATCCTCGGCGCTCAGAGACCACCACTGGCTGGAGTTGTTGGCCACCAGATTGTGGGAACCTCGCAGGAAACTCATGCTGTCGGTGCAGCACCTGGGGGGCCCTGTCCGGCGTGGGCTGCTTCCTTCCCGCCTCCGAGGACCCGGAGACCCCTGTCCTAAGCTCCGCTCCCTGTCCTCCCTCCCTTTGCCCTCTTGGCTGCGCAATCCCAGCAGCGCAGGGCGAGCGGTTTGGGGTGGGATGTTTGCGCCTGTCCCTGCTGCTCCCGAGCAGGGAAGCTGCTAGAGCTTCCCACACTCCGCACTCCCAATACACTCTTTGGCTGTCTCAGGACGCGCTCCCCCACGTTCTAGTGGCTGGAGACTGTCCCCACGCCCCTAACCCCCACCCCTCCGAGTCGTTTGTGATTTGTCCTCTTGCCTTGTTGCAGGGGTGGAGCTGAGACTCCAGGATTCCTCTGCAGAGCCAGGCGCTTTCCCCCCACCCGCTCTGCCCCAAACTTCTCTGGGCGCCTCAGGGTTTCCTCCAGTCCCTTTGACAAGCCAATTGAAAGCCACGCAGGACGTCAACAGGAGCAGTAAATGCGTCTTTAGAGATCTGCGTCTGCTGGCCCTGCGAACTCAGCGCGCCTGAACTTAAGAGTCTGCCTGGTCCTCCCTGGCCCCCAGCTCCGCACTTAGGCTAGCCACTCAGGCTGATTTTATTCCTCTCCCGGTTTCCCGCTACCCTACCGGTTGTCTGCGGGGATAAACATCCCGTGACTTCAATGGATCTCTCTTTCTGGTGACTTCGTCACCCTGCCTTTGCCTGCAAACAGGAAAGACCCACTCACTGGCACCCTGCCCTCCTCTTGCTGGGTGTGCGTAATCTACGGTGTTGACTCCACATGCTCAGCGTGGGACCCGCAACAACAGGCGTTTCTCTAGAAAGCCCGATTCCCACAGCCACAAGGTGGAGAAAATTGGGCTGCACTAGTCCGTGGAGACACAGTCTGGTTAATTCAAGACTGAATTCCATGGACATTTCCTAGAGCAGTCAAAGAAGAGAACTGAGAACCAGATCTGTCTATCTCCATCGCTGTCTCTGTCTGTCTGTCTGTCCAGCTGGGCTCTTAAGCTAGGAGCTAGGGAGAGGGAAAGAGGCATTTGGAAAGAAGAGAAGAAAACTACTCCACCCTACCCTCATAGTAATTGTTTGCACAACTGAGTCCCCGCTGCGGTGCTTCAGGGAGACAGAAACACCTAGAGACTCCATTGGCTGTCTTAACTCTGGCCAAGGGAGGCTACCCAGGACAGCAGGGGGAGCTGTTTCTGAAGGAGGAACGCACAAACTTCATAGATAACAGAGAAAGGATCTTAACTTTCTTGGGAGTTAGAATATTGGTCTTCCTGTGGCAACAGTACAAATCTGATTGCTTCTAGAAAATATTTTGATTTTTGTGATTGCACTTCACAAAAGAAAATGTTTCCTTTGGTGCAGGTAGCTTTGCTACATGATTCCATGCATTCGTCTAGAAACCTCGGGGCTGTTAACGTTAAGAGTGAGGGTGGTGCATACCTTTAAATCCCAGCACTCGGGAGGCAGAGGCAGGCGGATCTTTGTGAGTTCAAGGCCAGCCTGGTCTACAGAGCGAGATCCAGGAAAGGTGCAAAGCTATACAGAGAAACCATGTCTCAAAAAAAAAAAAAAAAAGAAAAGAGTGAGGGGATTGAAGTACGGAGGCAGTGGAGTTTCATCGTGGTTAGATAAGCCTCGGTCTATACATCTTAAAAATGGCAATGAAAGTATGTGCTGTTCTCATGTATGAAGTTAACTGGAGAATCACGTGATGGTAATGGTGGAGAGATACCGTGAAGATGGAACTCGGTGGTCACTTGGGATTTTTCTCCAAGATGACCAGGAAAATAACAAAAGTGAAAGTTTTCCAAGCCATTCATTTGAGGAAAAAAAAAAACTTCAAGCAATTTGATTTGATTACAGTCACTGTCTCAGAGCAGAGACCTTTTTGTTGTTGTTGTTGTTGTCGTTGTTTTTGTTTTTGTTGGTTTTTTTTTTTTTTTTGTTTTTTTCGAGACAGGGTTTCTCTGTGTAGCTTTGCACCTTTTCCTGGAACTCACTTGGTAGCCCAGGCTGGCCTCGAACTCACAGAGATCCTCCTGCCTCTGCCTCCCGAGTGCTTGCATTAAAGGCGTGCACCACCACCACCACCCGGCAATTTGATTACATCCACTGTCTCAGAGCGGAGAACTTTTTTTTTTTTAAGACACAAATTGCATTATTAGCGTTCTATATGAGAAACACTGTTGTCTGACCCCAGTGTCTGCAGAAGAGGTCCATTGGCCAGAACTATGAAGCCTCATAGCTCTTGTGAGGACACATTTGAACTGTGTTTCCCTGGGAGAGGGAATGGATGTTCCTAATCCAAAGATGGGGCTTCTCGGGAAATCACAAATGTTAAGCCATTTGATCCAACTATCAAATTGTGTTCAAGTTTCCAATTCATAAGCAAAACTTGAATCAGTGGATACAATTGGAAGATACTATGTTATTCAGTAACATTACCAGCTACCTATATGTGTACATATACGCATATTCATCTGTGTGTATACATGCACAAGTGCAAGTGTGTGTGTGTGTGTACACACAAATATGTATGCATTTACCTGACACTTTTCTGGGTGCCATAGGGTCTAGCAATTAGGTTAAGAAGTGTTACAAATTCCAGAATCAGTTCCTTTTTTTTCCAACTCACAAGTTTTAAAAAACAATGTCATCTTTTGCGGGGGTGGGGGGGTTCCATATTCAAAAGAAAGTAGGACCATTAAAATGGTTGTAACTTACTGGACCCCCTATGGAAGTTCCCCCAGAAGGATAAAGGAATTATGGAGTTGGGAAACAAACACAGAGTGTTTTCCATGGTATCTTGTGCTTTTTCTTTTGGCACTCTGAATTTATTCTTTGGTATTAAGAGTTTTTCTCTCTTGCTCTCCAGGGGTTTCAGTTAGCTTGTTTGGGAGATGGGACTGAGGTGATGAAAAGGAATGATAGAAATGAAGTGTGTATGCTTTATTGTTGTCTTGCATTTGCTAATGATGCTCTTTCCAGTCAGCAATTCCAGATGTCCAGTTGATGCAAACAGCGGTGTCCTTCTCTTGCTAGCTGGGACTTTGTTTTCATCGTTGAGCTTCAGATGCTTCAATCAGTAAAATATTTGTGAGAAATATTCATGTATTTGCTTTGAGGATGACACAAGTGATTGAGTTTTGGGCATTTCATGGGTGTTCAAAATATTCATCCCTCTTTTTCAAATATGTCATCCTTGGTCTTACCTGCTATTTTTGTCATTGAGCCTTTTCTTCCAAATTAAAGCAACACACCTCCATTTTTAAAATATTTAATAGAAGATTTGGATATGGTATCAGTGATTAGAGTTCAATGGTTAAATGCACGGAAAAGGGCTGAGTATGCCTTCCACTTTCCCTGGAAACTGACTTTTCATATTTATTTTTCTGTTGCTCTGATAAGACACCATGACCAAGGCAACTTATAAAAGAAAGTGTGTAATTGGCTTACAGTTTCAGAGGGTTAGAGTTCATGATAGTGGAGAAAAGGCACGGTGCCAGGAACAGCTGGAGCAGCAGCTGAGAGCTCACATCTTGATCCACAGGTAAGAGGCAGTGAGAGGGAGCACTAGGGATCCAAGAGGTCTTGAAAACTCAAAGCCTGCCATGCCCAGTGACACACCTCCTCCAACAAGGCCACACCTCCTAATCCTCCCCATACAGTTCTACCTAGTGGGGACCAAGCGTTCAAATATATGAGCCTATGTGGAGGCCATTCTTATTCAGACCACTACATTACTCAGAGAAAGAATTTGCAACTCTTCAAAAAGAAAACTGCTCAACTTTATCTGTCAGTGTTTCTTCAAGTTACTTGATCATAGATTCCCCAACCAACACCCTACTGCCTGTCCACCAATCCTTTTAACTTTTCATGGAAACATGATGAACATTTCACAGGCAATCGACATAGATTAAGTAGCACAGAGTCATCTAAGTCAAGAAATTGGAAGCTGGGGACAAATTTAACCTACTCTTCTAGAGTAGGAAAACCCTATGCAAATAGATCACATTGGCATCACCATGGTATATTATGTACTTTCCATAAATATTTTCAATATATCTGACTCCCTCCTTTAACCCGTCAGATTCCTTCTCCCTCATTACAGAGAAAACAGAAAAAATAAGGTGATCTACATTATTCATGTATCCATTTTACATCAACGGTGCACAATGTCTTTTTGTTCCTTCAATTTTAAATTAGTGGTGCAAGCCAGCCATCTAGTATTCAAGTCATTGCCCCTAACAAATCCAGAAAGATTTATTTCATGCTCTTATATTTGTACCTGACAATAATCTCTTAGTAATATTTATTGCTAGGTCTTAGGCTACTTACAAAAAATAAATTTATTTATAATATCATAATAACAAATATGGCATAGCCATATGTCCCTATGGAGGACATGCTGTTACTACTTTAGAGGAGGAGGAGGAGGAGGTAATAAATGTATGAATAACCAACCTTCAGTGACAGAGCTGGCCAATGATAAAATCAGAACTTACACAAAGACATTGGTTCCAGCAGGGTTCCTAATGTAACTCCTACATTACATTGCCATCTGTAAACCTCATGCTCCTGTTCTTGGCTCTTACAGACACATGAGGAATCTCTGATTGATAATTTAACATGCCATGTACACATGGTATTTTCTCCTTTATGACTAGAAGATCATGTGGGATTTTTCACTGATTCTTATCTGTCTCTGATTTCTTCTTTGACAAGTCAATTGCAGGACAATAATAGTAGAAGCACTGATTAATCTCTTATTCATGAATTAAAATGACTAAATTCATTATGATTGATCTTTGAGATAACACAATAAACTGAGTGTGGAGAAAGCCATCATCATCCCATTTAGAGATGAATACAACAAAGATTACAGAGTATAAGCAACAAAGTCGTGGTGTGCCAAATGATTGAGCAAGAAGCAAAGACAGGATCATTTGAAGATCAGGGCTCTAACTTCTGTGTCTCAATGTTCCCCATACACATCAGCACCCAAAACATCTTTGCAGAATGAATTAATAAATGCTGCAATGGAAACTTTTCAGTGCTGCTTGAATATTCAGTTCATGAAGTTCATGGTGATTCAATAAATCAGGGAAGAATTCATGAGGAACTGCTCTCCATCACCTAAATTCTACAGCATATCTCTGAAGAAGGAAATTAGCATTTATGTTAGGAAAGAATGGGCTGATTCTAGTCAGTCTGACTTGAGAATTCTGGACTGGACTGGT